GCGAATTTACCAAACTAAAAAATATAAAATCATAGATATTATATAATGCCTTCAATGGACGAAGCAATTGAAAAGAAATTAGATGAACAACTACAAAAGATTAAGTCAGAGTTAATTATATTTAATACCATCCAATATTTAAACAGAGAAGATACAAAAGTTAGAGGAGGAGATAGAAAAGTTGAAGAGCAAAACAAATGTAGCAACAGTGGTAAGTGTCTTCCTTTTAATTGTTGTTCGTTCAGTTTATTCTGATTTATAAATATAAATTATTAGCAATAACTTATATCTATTAATCAATAACCAATTTCGCGTCAAATCTTTTGTAAGACATATCATTAACATCTCCTTTCATTAGATTTATAAACAAAAACTGTATGGTTCTTCCGTTGCTAAATTATACAGTTCTAACATTAAATTCTTTGCTTCTGCTAAGTTTTTAGCGTCTGCCACGGACGACTTCTTAATCAATACTGCGCTTAACTCTTCAACCATTGTTTCAATTTCTTTATAGCTTCTTAATCTGAAAAATAATAATTGACGACTACTAACACAAATGATAGGACTTAAAGCGTTAAATTTTTGCGTTGCTGTTATAATATTTATTGCGTTATGTCTTCCTCTCACATACAACTGATTTAGCAAAGGCGAGTTTCTTGAAAATGCTTTACTATCAGCGAAGTCATCAACTATTATAAGAGTAGAAGATATGTTTTATGGTCGTTCTTCTTCTGGTATTCTATTACTTTATGTTGTCTTTTTATCACCTTGTCTAATTCTTCCGGTATGTATTCATCAAACAGGCACTTTTCTTTTCTAAATCAACCTTCAGCTCGTCTTGAATGTATTTCTTAACAGGTGTCCAACTACTATCAACTGATATTGAAGGAGACCACATACATTCTTTCAAAGACGCCTCTATAAATATCCAATATCATAGATTGTAGTAATATTCCTTTTCCTGAACCGGAAGGACCAATTATTATTTGTGAAAATGGTAATTTAGGCGCTACTTTGTATTTAGATTGTTTAAAATCATATTCTTTAACATTAATGGGTTTAACTATTGGAGCAATCATTATAAATACTATAAAAAATATATCGTTATTAACATATGAGTGATTATGATGAGTATTTAGAAGTTTTAGATGAGATAGAGAAGATAGAGGAAATAATAGCGCCACCTAAATATCGTAGGTGTTGTCACGACTTCGTCCTGAGGATGTGGCAACATCGTCACAGTCTATTGGAGTTGTTTAAATCTTTAATAATGTATATGAAATTAAAATTTAATTAAGATAAATGAGTGAGAACAAAGATGGAGGGATACAAGTAAATAAAGATGGCATTAACTGTCTGTTTTGTAGGTGTAAAAGAAATACATATCATAAAGAAAGTATAACAACTACTGAAAATAACAAAGTGGTTGTTAATGTTGTTGAAGATAGGAGTAGTATTAAGTTTGGTAAAGGTAGGAATGTATCGCCTGACGGCGGAATATTTAAAACAGATGCCACGCCACAAATGGGAGGCGTTGAACTTTGTAGCACGGGATGGAGCGAAAATAGGAAAATAACACCCGAAGAATGCGAAGAACGACTTGATAAAATTGAAGAAGATGTTGAAAGGATTGATAAATATGTTATTAGTTTAAAACAACATTTACATATTTTGGATTAGTATTTAATAATTATTTGATATATTATAATGACAGTGTATAGCAACGCTATAACTATTGGATTTCGTGAAATCCAACAGTGTATAGTCTATTGTAGTCCCAGAAGTTGAAACAGGAAAACACACTTAGTTTCTTTTGCTCTTGGGTTTCTTTGAAACCCAACAGGAACAATTGCCCCCGAATGTGCCCATTGCAGCATTGATTGAATGGACGCGAGAAAGGGAAGTATTGCGATACATTCAATAGCACTTCATAAGCAAGTGTGTAATTCGTTTAGAGATTGATTTATTTTTTTCATAATTATTATACAACCAATCATTTGTATGACAATATATGTTGATGAAATCATCGTATCACTTGATTTAAGCAATACATGCGACTATGAATGCGAAGTGAATGATATAAGATATTGTCCTAATTGTCAGATATGTAGAAGTCATTTAATGTTTATGAGTCTTAACAAAAATAGAGAATATAATACATTATGTAGAAGGTGCTTAGATAGTATGAATAGATACAAAGAAAATTCAAGTCTTTATAAGGGTTTTAAACGCAAAGTTTTTAAAATGTTTAGTTTACAAAGTTTTAATCTAAAACTTATATATATATATAATATGAGCGATGTAGATGATGAGATTAAAGAAACAAAATCAACAAGATTTCAAAAGATTTTGAGCAAGTTAGAAATAATTGAAAAGGCACTGAATAAACTTAATGAACCTAAACCAGTTAACAAACCAATGGATAAAGATAGTGATGCTTATAAGAATAAGAGAAATGTTTATGTCAATAAACTGAATAGCAAAGACATTGAGTTTCCAAAGAAAGAGACATGGTAATATTCTGAGATTAAGTTTGACGACCAAGAGAGAGCATATTAGACATTGCATTTTACAAAAACATATTTTACAAAAAACCATTTAAATAATTCAGAACTATATATTAATGGCAGAAGCATCGGGACATAACAACAAACATCAAAATCAATAATGACCTGAACTTGATAAAGTATGATAATATGAATACATTAACCGACAATATGCCATATATTGAAAACTGCGTGATGACGACTTAGTTATGTGAGGAATGGAAAACGAATTGTTGAACTTATAGACGGAAGAACAGTAAATATTATGAGACGAGAGGAGGAGAGAAACAAAGGAAGTATTTTTAGTAAAATTATATGTAGGGGAAATCCCCCAGTTCAGGATTATAATCTTTTGTTTTTTTCTATTAGGGTCTTACCCCACACCTCATATTAGGATACTGGTTATAGAATGAATTAGGTTCTGGATTGTTTGGGTTCTTTGGGTTTTGGATTGTGTTATGGATAATTGTATTGGTTTTGGTGGGTTGCTTTGTTTTCGGGATTATTGTATTGGGTTTTAGGAGGTGCTTTGTGTATTGGTGTTTGTTGGGAGGTTGAAATCTTAGGCGGGTTGAGAAATGGTGTGAAGGTGTAGGGGGGAGTGCAGGATGTGAGGTGTGGGGTTAGCCTATGCTTGCTGTAAGCGCGGAAGCGCCCGATGGGAGTGGCCGTTTGGCGCCCGATGGTCGCACGCCAAACACACCTCCCAGTTTGGGTATTGTTTCTCAACTTTACGAAAACCCATCTAAACCACCTAAACCCGCCCAAGAACTGCCCAAAACCAACCGCCCACCCATCCCTCAACTGGGAGGGCGAGCGAATGTCGCGGCAGCCAGCCCGAGCTCGGGCCCGCCAAACGGAAACCCTGTGCTGAGCCCCCTGAACCGCCAAACCTAGACAAATTCGGCATCATTCCAGCTTCCGGCCCCAATCCAACCGTGAACCTGCAACATGCAGCATCTTAGCCAATCCCAAAAAAACAAAACGAATCCTGATGCAATTCTCGACTCTGTGTTTATTGTCAACCAACACCAGTGAGTATCGAGGTACTGGAAGTATGTGAGCTGTGCTTTCATAAGGAATATATAATGTATTTATACATGGACGAGGTAGTGGAGGTACTTGAGCCGTGCTTTCAATCAGTAATATATATATATATGCATACATGCATTGTGTGTGAAGAGAGAGAGAGAGAGAGAGAGAGAGAGAGAGAGAGAGAGAGAGAGAGAGAGAGAGAGAGAGGGGGGGAGAGAGAGAGAGAGAGAGAGAGATAGAAAAAAAACACACACAAAACGAGGGAAATTGCGAGAAGCAGAATAGCAGGAAGCAGCCTGAGCGGGCATTCGGCTCTTTCGCAAGTGTGCGAGCGACCTTGGTTGCAAAGCCTGATGGCGGCAATGCTCAGAACGGTCTCGCCGGGCGACGTCGGGCCAGCGGGCATGGCATTGGCACCGCCGCACGCACCTTATTCGCACTATCAATTTGTGAGCACTCTGCGGACATTCGCGGGGCCGACCTGCAAAAGCTGCGTGCCTGTTGTACTTTTTCACTTTGCTCGCGCAACCCTCTGCAGACTTTTCGCTGATCAACCGTTAAAAGCTCATTTGTTTTATGCGCATCTTTTCGGTCAGCTAACTAGTTAGCTAACAAACTAGCTAGCAAACTAACAAACAGTCTACCTGACTAGTAAATTTGCCAACTATCTCGCTATCGAGCTTGCATAGTAGCCAACGAGCAAAGTAGCCAACTAGATGGCCAACTATCTAGCCAACCAGCTAGCCAACCTAATCACCCAACCAGCTACGAAGCCTACTCTCGATGTAGCTACTGAGCTAACTTGCAAACTAACTACCTAACCAACTAGCTAAGTAGATAATTGGCAAACTGAACTGGCGAATATCGAAACAGCTAGCTAGTTTAGCTAGCTAGCTGATCCGTTAGCTTAAAAAAATAGCAAACTCTCGAACTAGCCAACCTACCGAGCTATTTGTTTCATCTGGCTGGCTGAGTAGTTAACTAGCTGACGAGCCAACTAGCCAACTAGCCAACTTGCTATCTAGGTAACTGTCTAGCTATTCAACTAGTTGACTTGACTTCGCAGATGTTCTTGCAGGGAAAGCGGCTTAGCAAGGCGCATTGCCTCCACTTCAAGCTGTCCCGTACTATGCTTCCTTCACCCGAATCGGTTTGAGTTGGGTGAAAGTTTATGGCGCAATTACTCACCCCAATCTGCTGGGAATTGTACCGTCTGGTTTCACCCTGCTACACCTCTCATCCACCCCCCAACGTGTGTTTTGTTGCTTCCCTTAATTTCCCTTCACGAATTATCCCAATTGTTTCTGGTGGGTGAAAGTAGCCGGCGCTGGATTTTCTTTTTGTCATGTATTCTCCCTTTGGCCAGCTGGTTTTTGCTTCTGGGATGTCCAGGTGTAAAGGTGGCGCTCAGCGCGTCAGGAGCTGAGGGACGTGCAGACGGTGGCGGACTTTTGGTCCTGGCTGCGCCTGGGCTTTCTGCCGCAGGTGGCGCGCCCGGCCGGGAGCCAAGCCGCAAAGCAAGATCGAGTCGGGTTTCGGCGCCGGGAGCCGGGGGTCGATTGGATGCCTGAAACTGGTTTTTTTCGCTTTCCGGTGGTTGTCCGTTGGTTGTGGTGTTTGGTCTTTTGTTGCCTTTGGTTTGACTTTTCTGTGGTTTTGTGCGGTTTCCCTTTAAAAGGTACGAAGAAAGGCAGCCATGTCCTTCCACTTTACGTTGAGGCTCGGTTTTGGGGGGTGCATGGTTTTGAGACAACTGGATGGGCAAGACATATCCCCCAAGCACGCATGGGGCTGGCCTCTATGGTGTTCCCACGGAGTCTATGTGTAACCACCTTCAGCGCATTAAACTTTCTGGGGGATTGGCCGGCAACAAAAAAACTTCTTTCCGTGTCCAGGCGCGAAAACATAGCCGAAACAACCAGACCATGGTTCCCACTTGTTGGTCCACTTTGAATATATAGCATTGTGTCCAATTCCAGCGGCTTTTCGTCGGTTTGGGTGGTGTTCCTTTGATTTTTTCGGCGCCGACTCTCGAGCCAAGCTGCTTCCTCGCAAATGTTTTCCTAGAAAGGGAGTTCACGGTCTGGCTTTTAGATTTCCTTAAAAGCGGGGTCAAGGTCTAGTTCTTGAAAGTAGTCCAGGGTCTGCTTGTTTGACTCCCTGAAAACGGCGGCCAGGGTCTGGTCGTTCAATTCCCTTAGCATTCCCTGAACGGGGGTTTGTTTGGGTCCTGCTTCACAATTTCTCTAGCGGAGCCTGAGAGCGAGCAGAGGTCTGGGCCTATTCAGAGGGCCGTGTCGGGAGCGTCTTCGACTTAGTGCCTCGGCGAAGGCAGATCCAACCCCGTTTCCAACCCCAAACGTCCACTTTGGCTGTAGAAGGACGCCGTCTTCTTTTTTTCCTGGTTCGGATTGTCTGGGAGCTCGTGTCTTTTTTTTGAGGCTCGGTACCAGTTTGGGTTGTTTTCAAAGGGAATTTTGAAGGAAGACGGCCACTTTCTGGGCTCCGAATCCAATGTTGAGACACACCTTCCAAGTCGGTGCGGCTTGTGCCGAGACACCCCCCCCCCAACAAAAACCAGGTGAGCGGGCTCCTCATGTTCCTTCAAAACGAGCGCTCAAAAAGAGAACCTATCTCTCAGGTTTCCCCGTTTTTGGACCTCCAAAAGTTGCAGGCAATGATATGAACCAAGAAATTGATCGACTTTTGGGGGAATCCACTGGATTGCCAGAAAGGAGCCCTAGAAGGGATTCTTAGGGTTCCTGGAATCGTTCTAGGGGCTGGGGGGGCATCAACAACATCTCTACACAACTCGAAAATTGCTAAACTTGCTTGCTACCTCTTGGGCCCCTTGTCTAAGCCATCCAAAGAGGGCTCCACATTTTTGAGAATCCCTCCCTCGCTTCCCGATGTACACAGCTCTGCTCAGTACATTAGTCCCCATGTTCAAGAAAGCCAAGAACAATCATGGGAATCTGGTTTGAGTCGCTGGGTGCCTGTTTTTTGGTGACCGAACCAGAGCAGATATTTGCTCGTCATCTTTGGGTTGCCGGTGGTTTTTGTGCATTGGTCTCCAACTTTCGTGAGCATTAGGGCATCCAGCTCCTTGGGCCATTGGGGGCACCAGCCGGACCAACTTCCTTGGGCCCATCGGACTGCCAGCACAACTGGTGAACTCTTTCGAATTCTGAATTTCTACTGGCCCATTTGGGTGGTGCCATTTTTTTTGAGGGTAGGCCGTTTTGCTTTGTTTCAATGGGAAACCAAGGAACAAAACCACTATTTTGGGGGGTGAAACAAAAGACCGACCCATTTGACCGGCAGACAAAACACTTTGGGTTCAGCCGAGTGACTCAGCGGCGCCCTGGGCCAGCTTAGGACCTCAACCAGACCTGGCGCCTGAATGATTTTGGGAGCCACAGCCTGAGTTGATCGCTCTGGCGTGATCGGTGCGAGAATGAAACCATTGGTTCCCAGACCAAAGAATATTGCCCCCCCATCCTCGTTGCCATGGAAGGTCCCCTTTAAAGGAAAGTGGTCCAAACCAAGCCCCCCTCTCTGAGGTTCCATGGACGACAGGAGGGTGGCTTGTGCTTTGGCTTCTCCTTCATTAGTTGAGCCCTTTGCAGGCGGACGTCTTGCCCAGAAACCTGGCCCTTTTAGGACAAGTCTTGGCAGGTTGGCTGGTTGGAACCATTGGACAGTTTTCGGGACTCGGGAGGGTTTTTTGTTGGGGTGAACAAAAATGACGGGCCTTTCTGTGCGTGGCAAAGGGAGTCCGCATCAAGAGTGAAAACACAGTCGCAAGGATAGCAGCCTTTGGCACACCTACCGGGTGGATAAAATGTGTGCTGACCCTTGGAAGAGTCCAAACGTCACCTGCAAAAGCGCCAACAATTTAAGCACGGTGGAAGAGCAAGGACGGTGGTTTGGAAGCAGGGATGTGGGATGACTTCCGGCTAACTCACCAGGTCGATCTTTTGATTTCCAGCTTTACCAGTCCATGGCAAATTGGGCTCGAGGGCAGCCCACTTTGCCGTTCAGGATGAGCTGCTTGTCACAAACGGCTTGAATGGCTTCCTTCCCCGGACTCTCGTAAAGAGAGCCTCATGCCGCAGACGAGCCGCTCCCGCTCCCGGGCGAGTACTTGCACTTCAACCGGGTCGTTGGCCGCGTGACGGCAAGTGGAGAGGAAATTGAGTCGAGTGAAGTCTCAAAATCGTGGTTTTGCATGGCAGAAGTTGGAGCTTCTGAATCCCAACCCCACTGAGCCATCCGACCATTCGCACGTCACGCGTGGTTCACTGCGGAACCGCAGGGGGCCTGCGGTTCCGCCAGCGCGCCAGCGCTGCGTCCAGTTGCCGATTCCCCGGCACCGGGGATGCCTGGCAGAGGCGGGGTCCCGAGTGAGGCACATCGATGTGTGGGTATCATGTCAACCCTCTACCACAAAAGGATGTATTTGGCCTGGAAAGCCAAGCTTCTCACAAAGTCGCCTAACCAAGATCGCCCAACAAAAAGAGGGTTATGTGGAGTAGGGGGTATGCCGACCCCACGTTGCCACGGAACCTGACTGAGGGGTGGAAGACGATTTTCTTTTAAAAGGGGGTTCTTTCCTATTGATAGGGGGTGGGGGTGTTCCACAACAAAAGTGGTCTGAACTCCCATCAGGGACACCTCCCAATCAAGTGAACACTGAGAGGTTAGATTGCTTGTTTCCCTTGAAACAGTTTACAGTGCATTCTGCATGTCACTTTGCTGGATGCTGTGGTTGTCATTAAGGTACTATCAGCATTGTCCCTGCATGGTTACCAATTGTCACGAGAGCCTCTCGACGACTCCAGGTGAAGTTTGATATCCCCAGCCCCCCTGGATGGAATTAGGTGGCTTCGACCCTTGAATTGTTCATTCCATTTTTTCTCGGGGCCCTCAATGGAACAAGAAGGGGGATTCTTTGACCCTGGAATTCTTCCCTATTTGGAGACTTCCCGTTCCCCTTTCCACGGGGGAGGGGGGGGGGCTATTCTTCTCTGTTTGTGGAATGTATGGGTTTCGAAGCGAGCCACCATGACCTATCCAAGGAGTTTTGATAAAACATTAGCACAAAATGGCTTGAGACTTTGCACGTGATGAATGTTTTCTTGGGGATCCTTAATTCAGGTTGGTGAATTGCTGTAATGAGCATGTCACATTGAGCGCACACGGATTGCTTTTTAAAAATCATGATGTATTCAAAAGGTATGTGAAAAAAGGGATCCTTCACACGGTTGGTTTTACGGCGTTTTCCCGGAAATGTGCTCTTGCTCGGGTCTAATAGTTTTGATAGCCACAAGGGGGAATGGAATAGAACAGTCCCCTTGACAACCTAAAAGCATCCAACTTCGATCGCTCGGAGAATTCCGAAACGAGACCCACATCGCTTCGCCACGGCTGACATTGCACGCAGGGGAGATGGTTTCATTCTCAAAGCAGGTTCTAGGAGTTCTTCCCATCCGATGTCGGAACGCATTGAACCCATACGTACCCACGTGACCGCAGGTGGTATGGGAAGCCCTGCATGCCCAACTACCAGGAGATTTTCTTCACACCCGAGGTGGATGATGCCGAGGCTGACTGGCCGAGTCAGGGAGTTGGGGCTCGTTCCTTTTGTTCCCTTTGGCTACACATCACCGATGTAGACTTGGTGGTTCCCAGCCATACCCTCAAACTGTTTGCACTTTAGAGTTTGTTTTTTTGTTGGTCTTCACACGCCCCGAGCGAGTCTTCCTTCGGGGTCGGGGAAAACAAAATGGGAGCAACCTTGCAATATTCGGACGCCAGGCCAAAAGCAACCTATATTTGAAGATACGCATGGGAAGCTTCTATTTAAAGGGCTCTGTCTGCTCGCATGCGCTGCAAGATGTTTGCTCGCCCGCGTTTGCTTTTTTTTGAGGATACCCTCTTTTGGTTGGTTTAAATGGGAGATAAACAGAAACCAGCCATGTTGAAACGGGTTCCCTTATTTTGAGACAAGCCCAACATATTCAAATGTCCTTTTCCCATACCTCCGGCATCGTCTTCCGAAAGCCCGACGGCGCCTTTTTAGGTCTTTGCTGATGCGGTGCGGATCGAATGGATGCTGCCGGGATTGGACGACTACGACAGGATGCACTCGCAGGCCGTGGGCGGCGTGTGTGAGGTTTGTTCTTCAGGATTCCTCAATGAGGTCTCCTTGGATTGAGTCTAGCATTGAAAGAATGGGAGCTTAATTTGAGCACCATTGTTTGCCTAATGGCCATCATCACCATTGGGTCAACCATGCTATGGGTGTGTCTTTTTTTTGTAGGTTCCCCGTTTTTTGTGGTTGTAGAGGGACACCAAAAGGAAAAGCTCAATCTTTGTGGGTCCCCTAAAGAAAAAACACGCAAATGAGGTTATGGTCCATTTGGGAAAAATGGACACTGGGGAACTTACGTACTGTAATTTCAGCACAAAACCAGGGGACGAACCCAAATGTTTTCACATCCGCTTTAAAGGAAGCAAATGATTTGACTTCTTTGGTGGTTTTAAACATTGCCTGTTGGGCCAGGTTAGAGTGATTCGCCAGTGAGCCACTGAGGGTATGTGTTCAGAAGAAATATAGGGAGCTGCGTTCCCTGTTGGATAAGAAGTAATCATGAGTTTGAAATTTGCAGCTGTGCAGTGGCATCGCAGAAGCACATGAAAGTGTGAGTGTGAGTGTAAGTGTGAGTGCGAGTGTGAGTGTCAGTGTTTGCGTCAGTATGCGTGCGTGCGTGCCTGCGCGTGCGCGTGCGCGTTCTCGTGCGCGTGCGTGTGCGCGTGCGTGTGCGTGTGTGCGTGCTTGCGCACGCGCTTGCTTGCATGCGTGCGTGCGCGAGTGCGTGCGTGCGTGGGTGGGTGGGTGCGTGCGCACGCGCTTGCTTGCATGCGTGCGTGCGTGAGTGCGTGCGTGCGTGGGAGGGTGGGTGCGTGGGTGAGGTGAGTGGGCGCATGAGTGAGTGAGTGAGGTGAGGTGAGGGGAGGTGAGGTGAGGTGAGGTGAGGTGAGGTGAGTGAGGTGAGTGAGGTGAGTGAGGTGAGTGAGGTGCGTGAGGTGGGTGAGGTTGGTGAGGTGGGTGAGGTGGGTGAGGTGTGAGGTGTGAGGTGTGCGGTGTGCGGTGTGCGGTGTGAGGTGTGAGGTGTGAGGTGTGAGGTGTGAGGTGTGAGTTAATTTAGTTGAATGAGTGAGTGAGTGAGAAAGGGAGGGAGGGAGGGAGCGAGCGAGCGAGCGAGGGAGTGATTGAGTGAGTGAGTCAGTCAGTGAGGGAGTGCGTGAGTGAGTGAGGGTGCGCGTGCGTGTGCGTTTGCATTTGCATGTGCGCGTGCGTGTGCGCGTGAGCGTGTGCGCGCGAGCTTGTGCGTGGGTGCGTGCGTGCGTGGGTCCGTGCTTGTGCCTGGGTGCGTGCGTGCGTGTGTGGGTGTGTGGGTGTGTGTCTTTGTGTGCCTCTGTGTGCCTTTGTGTGTCTGTTTGTGTTTGTGAGTGTGTGTCTGTGCGTGTCTGTGTGCGCGTGCGTGTGCGTGTGTGCGTGCTTGCGCACGCGCTTGCTTGCGTGCGTGCGTGCGTGAGTGCGTGCGTGCGTGCGTGGGTGGGTGGGTGGGTGGGTGGGTGCGTGGGTGAGTGGGCGCATGAGTGAGTGAGTGAGGTGAGGTGAGGGGAGGTGAGGTGAGGTGAGGTGAGGTGAGGTGACTGAGGTGAGTGAGGTGAGTGAGGTGAGTGAGGTGCGTGAGGTGAGGTGAGGTGACTGAGGTGGGTGAGGTTGGTGATGTGGGTGAGGTGTGAGGTGTGAGGTGTGAGGTGTGCGGTGTGCGGTGTGAGGTGTGAGGTGTGAGGTGTGAGGTGTGAGTTAATTTAGTTGAATGAGAGAGTGAGTGAGTGAGTGAGGGAGGGAGGGAGCGAGCGAGCGAGCGAGGGAGTGAGTGAGTGAGTGAGTGAGTCAGTCAGTGAGGGAGTGCGTGAGTGAGTGAGGGTGCGCGTGCATGTGCGTTTGCATTGGCATGTGCGCGTGCGTGTGCGCGTGAGCGTGTGCGCGCGAGCTTGTGCGTGTGTTTGTGTGTGTTTGTGTGTGTGTGTGTGTGTGTGTGTGTGTGTGTGTGTGTGTGTTTGTGTGTTTGTGTTTGTGTGTTTGTGTGTTTGTGTGTTTGTGTGTTTGTGTGTTTGTGTGTTTGTGTGTTTGTGTTTGTGTGTTTGTGTGTTTGTGTGTTTGTGTGTTTGTGTGTTTGTGTGTTTGTGTGTTTGTGTGTTTGTGTGTTTGTGTGTTTGTGTGTTTGTGTGTTTGTGTGTTTGTGTGTTTGTGTGTTTGTGTGTTTGTGTGTTTGTGTGTTTGTGTGTTTGTGTGTTTGTGTGGTTGTGTGGTTGTGTGGTTGTGTGGTTGTGTGGTTGTGCGTTTGTGCGTTTGCGTGTTTGCGTGTTTGTGTGTTTGTGTGTTGGTGGGTTGGTGGGTTGGTGTGTTGGTGTGTTGGTGTGTTGGTGTGTTGGTGTGTTGGTGTGTTGGTGTGTTGGTGTGTTTGTGTGTTTGTGTGTGTCTGTGTGTCTGTGTGTCTGTGTGTCTGTGTGTCTGTGTGTCTGTGTGTCTGTGTGTCTGTGTGTGTGTGCCTGCATGCCTGCCTGCCTGTGCGCATGCCCTCGTGCCTGCCTGCGTGCGTGTGTGCGTACGTGTGTGTGTGTGTGTGTGTCCCATCGGAGAATCGACACTGGAGGTCATTGCGGGAAGCAAGGTAATCCTATATGTCACAAGTCAGTCCGAGCAAAGCCTCGTTGTCAGCAAAGAAAGAGGCTACTTGGCAGAGCCATAGGGGGCTCAGTGGTGCTTGCTGGGTTGTGAGAGAGCTCGATCCCCAGGTCATAGATATGGAGGACCTGCAGACGAATTGCGCCGTTTGCACTTGCTTGCGGGCGGTCGAAATACTCAAGTGCCCAAAGGCTGCATACTTAGCGAATTCACGCACATCCAGAGTCAAGGGTCAGTTAACCCATAAACTGGGGGTGCAGAAGGCGTGCTTCCAGGCAAGGCATGAAACCGATAGATGTGCTGGAAGCACGGGAGCTTCTAGATGCCGAGCGGTGGCTCGAGTCAGGACGGCTGCAGGCAGATGGCTGCGAAGAATCGCACAGAGCCACGGCAGATGCCGCGGATTCATCCCCCTCCAAGTTCAGGGGACGCTCACAAGACGACCATGTTTGTTTTTTTTTCCCCCGCATCCCAAAGGAACCCAACTTATGGGTCACTCGCCCAAATTGATGGACAAAAAGGGGTAGTGAACTTGGACAAGTGCTCTCTCGAAAACGTGGATAGCCACAGAGAGAAAGACAGTTTGCCTAAGGGTTTGTTGAATGTCCAAGTTTCTTGTGTTTTTCTTTGTCGGGGTCGGTTGGGGTTGGGCAGGGCCCTCAAAGCGGGGTTGGGGATGGTACGCGAAAACACGCTCAGGGCTCGAGGGAATTCAATGACTGGGGGGGTTGACAGTTGATTTTCTTTGAGGGGTGGTTTCAATGGGCTGCCTAGCAAGACTCCAAGATGTTCGGGGCCCCAACTTTGAGCTCGTCCAAAGGGCGGACGATCCATCCACCTTCCTCCGGTCGCTTGGAGACTGTTAGGGGTTGTCTCGAAATGAGGGGTGGTTGCCCTCAAAAAGAGAGACACCCATTTTGCAATCATTCCTGAGCATGTATGTCATGGCAGCCACCAGCAACAGGCTGCAGAAGGACCCCCTTGCTCGGGATTTCCCAGCTCACGTGATCGAAGCCTTTGGCCCAATGGCTTAGAGTTGTTGGAAGCAACAACTACGGCTTCCACGAAATGCGCTGACTCATTCTTCGAATGCCTGTACTCCCGAAGGACTGGAACCGAAACCCCGCAGGCCACGAAAGGACCACCCCCCCCGGTTGCCCAGGGCTCCTCACCCATAGAAGGTGATCAGCCTGATCAGCAGCACTCTTAGTTTGTAGATTGTAGTTTTCCCAGGTTACCCTAAAAGCACTAGACTTCTAAAATGGTTTCGCTTGGTTTCCCTTGGTTTCCCTTTGGTTTACCTTTGGTTTACCTTTGGTTTCCCTTTGGTTTCCCTTTTGGTTTCCCCTGTGTTTCCCTTTGGTTTCCCATTGGTTTTCCTTGTGTTTCCCTTTGGTGTCCATTTGGTTACCCTTTGGTTTTCCTTGGTCTTCCCATGGTTACATCTGGGCTCTCGCTGAGGAGTGCCTTTGTGAGTCCTGCCTTGCCGAAAAGTTGCCCTGGCTGCGGGAGGACGCCAACATGGGGGCGATTCAGTCGTGACCTGGTTCAACCACTCCCCCAAACATGGCCGTTTTCCTTTTTTGGTTTCCCTTAAAACCCCTCCCAAAAAGAGTACCCTGAAAAAATACCAGGGCCGGGCCCACTGAACCGCTCGGAGCGGGTTCCCTTCCAGAAACGGCCTGGTGGTTCTCCAGGACGCCCAGCGCGCGGAGGCGCAGATCCGATAAAACGACCAAACCTGCGGTGACTTCGCTTGGACGGGGTTGATCCCACTGTGATACTTTCGGGAATCTCCCCCTTTACTGGGCCACTGGGGTTAGTCTTTGGGGTTAGGCCCTTTCTATGGTATCACAGAGTCCGCTTCCGAAAGCCCTGTTCAGACAGAGGGACGTTACCGATGGTTTTTTCCTGGATCCAACTTCGAAACCTGGTATTGAAGGGATCTACTATGTCAGCATCCGGGAATGCAGTTTTGTTGTTGCGGGCACTCAGACGAGTCTGAGTTTGGAGTGGACCCAGCTTGGAGGTAACCCTCATGGATGTTTAGTCATGTAACAATTATATGTGAATTATATATGTATATATGGATTTGTCTCTAAACGGCGGGTGCCAAATTGCCCAGAATGGTTTAATTTACCCAACGGCACACCAAAAGGGATGTTGTCGTGCATCACTTTGTCTACACACCCAGTGCCCAGCCAGGTGAGCATGATCACCTACAATGCGCACTATGGTCTCCTGACTCACACAGGCGCCAGCGGCTTGCGGAGCATTCGCCTTTGGCACCCCGAGTGCGAGTTCATGGGGCTCCCAACCCAAAAAGTGTGTTTTTTCGGCCAAAGGCCATCTGGATCTAGGTAGATTTTATTTGGGATTAATTAAATGGACATCATGTAGGCGAGGATTTACGCCAACCACTTCAGGGTCCACGGGCAGTTTGATTAGTCCTCACTGCTCGGAACCCGCGCGCCAAAGAGTTGCTTCGGGCTCCTGGCGCGAGCAAGCCAAAGCGTGGAATGACCGTTTTGGGGGTGCTCTGTGAATATGCCAAATGAACAAATCCACAACACACCGTACTAATGAACCAGAAATTCATTGATCCTAGGTTCTCATGTTGTGTTCAGGCCTCGATTCGGGCTCGATTCTCATGGTTTTTGTTCCTTGCCCCTTTGCCAAACTTTGTTGGGACTTATAGGAACAGATCCGTGGTTTCCCCCTTTTGCTTTGAAGCTGTTTGAACGGCCTATTTCTTTTCATTGAGTCTCATGGATGTTGACGCCAGACCAAAGCCTTGCTTTGGATCCTTTTCGGGTTTCCCGTCATTTTCCGTTTGGGTGGCCGTGTCGGGAGACTGTGCAAAAGTGGGCCGCCTCCCCCGCGAGCCAGGCGTGAACTTCTGGTTTCTCCGCGGCGGTCGCATCCGGAAGCGGGTGGAGATGAAGTCGCTGTGGGTCAACTCCGACCAGCTCATCGCGGCTTGAACCCAACAAAGCGGCCGATCTGAAGAGTCTGAAGAGGGCGAGGGTGTCAAGCCTCCCCCCAAAAGATCTATGAAAAACTGGAGCGACTTGAGCGCGCGAGCGCCAAGTGGGCGATTCCATTCCTTATTTTTTTCGAGCCTGATTTGGCTGAACACAAGGGCTCGCTTCAGGGCGTTGACGAAACCGGGGAAGCCCGAGCTGCAGAACCACTGCAACCCGAGGAGGAAACACGTCCGATAACACAGGCCCAGGGCAAGAGCCTTTGTTTGAGATGGGGCCTGACGAGCGAATTCGATCACCATGAGTACGCAAACCTGCCGGCGCACCTCCGGCCGAGTGCGTGGTAGAGGTAGAGAGGATTTAAGGTCTTGCTATAAGACACGGCTTGAAGCTGCAGACTTCTTGAAACAGGCGATCGACCTGTTTGCCAGGGAAGAGAGAGAGAGAGAGAGACACCCGCGAAAATCTCGAGGCCGAGAATGCCCTCTACATGGTCTTCGCGATCGTTTGGGGCGTGCTGCTGCTGTGGATCTTCCTTTCGGAGGTGGGGGTTAGCCAGGCTTGAGGCTGAGGTTGTTCAAGGCATACGAGTCCTTTTTAGGTTGGTTTGTTGGGAGTAGATGGCACGGTCTTGGAGTCTAGAGTGCTTTTATTCCATTGACTAGGGCCATCTACGTTTCCAAAGTGTCACCTGCGTCCCAAGGGTTTCCCGCTGGACCAATTTAGGAGCTGAAAGTCTCAAGCAAGTCCTCCCTATATTTTTCTGCCCATTGAAAGATCACCTTTGAGCCATAGATGAGGCGATGCTTAAGGGGAAAATATCGGCCCTGGTCTTCAACCAATTTTGGTTCGTCCCGGCTCGTTAGGGAAGATCCCGAATGGCCCAAAAGCAAGCAGTCAGGTCAGTAATCAACACCTTTTGGCCCATTTCAGGTAAGTTTCCCTTGGTGAAGTCAATAGGTTCGACATATGGGCGGATGAAGGATCTGCGGATCTTTCGGACGGTTGACCTCCAATCAAAACCGATTCGGGCAAGCGATGGTTAGAGAAAGGTGCGTTCATACCAGGTGATTGTGAGCTCACCTTTGGCCGTCTGGAAAACAGAAACACTCTCCAAAGAGCGTTTTGGAAGCAGCCACCGGACCCAACCCACAACGAAGCATGAGCGAAAACCTCAAACAAACCCTAAGCCCACCTACACCAACCACGAAGCAACCCCAACGCATTTGTTCGCTCCAATGGAAATCCGAACTCAATGGTTCGAAATGACGAAGTTCAAGAACATGAGCTGGAAGCTCTTGGCTTCTGATTCCATCCTGTAGGTCACTTGCCCTGGCATGGAACCTGACAGGGTGTGGGGACCATGTTCCTAAACAGGCCTTCTGGTAGGTTCCGTGCTTGGGAAACCAAGTTCTTTTGCAAATCACTTCTCCGGGCTCAGGTGCGCGAGATTGCCGTGATCCTGGTCACTGACGATGAGTCCTGGTACAAGGCGTTGATCAAGGAGCGGGCAACGCGCGTTTGCTCGGGGCCTTGAATCAAATCCCACGCCCACGCCGCTTGGTTTCCATCTTAGGAGTGCACTTTTTGAGGATTCAATAGGAAAGGTACCATTTGTTGGGTCTGTTTTGACATGTCCCATTGTTTTGGTGCAGTGGCAAAGCCCCCCGCAGCCTGAACACGTGAAACACTTTTTTCTATCGAGCGCGGCCATTCACCTTCTCGTCAGTTTAATGTGGTGAGCAGCGGCTTCTTGTTGGAGATATTAGTCTTGGGACCTCGTTTTGCTTGGAATCCTTCTGCACCTGGACCATAACCCAGGAGGAACCCAACTGTCTGGCTGAGCAAAGCTTGGTGGCATGCGGATCTTTTAGGCATCGCCTTGAGAGAAGGAAGCCCCAGCCACATTCTTTTTTTTCGTCTGCCCGTTCTTAAGCTCGGTGTGGTTTGGAGCAGCTTTCAGGGAGGAACCCCGGAAGTTCGGGGGTTGCCGGTTTTCTGTTGGGGATACCACCGGGAATTATGTGTTTCTTTTTTAAAGAGGGGGGGGTTCTTCATTTGGGAGGCAGCTTTTGAATACCCTTCAGTTCCAGCAGCATGGCACCATCGCTTGAAGCATTTGATGTTCCAGGGCAAGGAAACGGAGAACTAAAAGGGACCCCTTTTATCGGCGCCCCGTCCAGAAGAGTTTGGGTCCACGTTCAGGGTCCCAAGCATCTTGGCGTCGAACATTACAACCCCAAAAGGGGCACCAACTCGAAAGACAACCCCGTGCTCTAAATACCCAAGCATGTGGATGATTGAGCAGGGACCATCCCTTGGCAACCTGGAAAGGTGTAAGGCTATCCTTTAGGGATTATCTATCAGACCCAACAATTCCATTCTGATTTCGAGGATCCGGTTCCGGAGCTCCGAGGGCTTTTTCGGGGAGGGATCCTACGGCACTGAGCGGGTTCACGGCAGGAGTACTTTAGCTTCGCCAACTCGGTGGATTGGCTCTCCATCATCGTGGCGAACGCCGCTTGGCACCAAACCCGAAAACGCGCGTGCGGAATTCGCGCAATTCGAAGGGCGGGGGGTTGTGGCTTTGGAGGTCTTTTGAACTCAGGCGTGCCGTCAATAGATCTATGTGGGTGGTGAACCACCGGGGAATCCTTACAAGAATTTGTTCACCCCAAAGCATATTCTGTTCTTATGATTGTTGCAGTTGTCCTTCGGCGAATTGAGAGACCAGTCGATGCGCAAAGCCAATTGACGCAGTTTGCTCAAGACGTTTTGACCTCTGCCAACAATGGGCGGCCTTTGTGAAGATATGTTGGCGTCTTTGCCAGGTGGAGCAGATTGCCGTTCATCCTCTGAATCCAGCTTGACTCTGGAGACAGAGTGCACCATCAATGTCCATGAAGCCGGAAGCGCTGCAGGATACGCGGCTTACGGATGCCTTCGTGCTAGGGAGATCAAGAAATCTCTGGCAGACCCATATCAAAAGAACAAGATCAAGCCCTTTGGTTCCGCAGAACCTCTTGCAGAGGAAGTGGCATATCAGTTATTTTGGTTGAGACCGGAGCTTCTTTCTGCACCTTGGCAGATGAAATAACTGGAATGGCGATCCGCACCCGTTTACCCGCACATGGTCCGATGCTACTTGTTTCTCATTCTATTCTGGTGTAAACCTCAGAATGTTCTTCAACAACTATACTTTTGGGGTGTTTTGGTCACAAAGGTGAGGTCACAAGCCGAGCTTCAGTCACCGATCCCGGCCTCTGACTTTGAAGATGGTTGAGAAGGTGCTCCAGAGAGAGAGGAGTGTCTCAGTCAAACGCTGTCGAAGGGGCCGCTTGCTTATTTTCAAGAAGTACTACGAATGCACAATGCCCCATTACCATGCAAGCTTTGAGGATCAACAACAATATGAGCTGAACTTGCTCTACAAGGATCTTAAAGACCTTCCCAACATCATACAACTTCAAGCGCATTTCCACGATCTTCGTGGTCGCTGACTCTGGTGTTGCCGAACCTTGGGACCAATGTTTACCCCAGCACAAAGGAAGGCAGTGTCAGTTACATGAAGCAAATGCTTTTTGCTTTGAAGCATCTCTGGAATCGAGAGATCGTGCATTGCAACATCAAGGGAGGGAGTCAGCCAAATGCAATTTTTGACAGCTGTGGAAAGTTGACTGACCCTCATTGACTTTGAGTCAGCAGTTCGAAGGCATGAAATGATTGACCAAAGGTATGCAAAGCCATTTCTTGAGTGCAGCTATATCGGAAATCCTCGATATGTTGCACCGGAGGTGTTGCTACCAGAGCCAGGCGGGAACCTGTGCGGACAAACTGTCTTTGGCCATCGGAGGGACATTTTCAGCGCGGGCCTTCTTTTCGCTGAGCTTTTGCTTGGCATCGAGCACTTGTTCCTCCATCTTATTGACTCTGAAGATCTCATCAAGTCGCGCGACCACCTGCACAAGACTCTTTGCAGGATGACTCCAGAGCTGGCTTTGAAGCGATGTGGTGGTGATTTCCTATTGAGTGACCAAGGTTTCAACAGAAAGGCTGCAGCCCTGGTCGCCAAGATGCGAACTCATGATAGATTCGCGCGCCCGAGCCCTGCGAAGCTGCTTCGGGATCCATTTTTCAGTACGTCTTGAGAAGCTTGGTGGGAGGCCAAGGATGAGAAAGCTTGATTTGCGGCTGAAAACACGTGCGTTTTCGGTCCCCATTGCATGTTGACAAATAGAAGCTCAGATCGGTCGTTGTCAGATGGAACTTCGTAGAACAAGTGTTGCATTGGGAGTTGTGCGGAAGGCAAGCAAGACTGCTACAAGTTCTTTGGCACTACACGCTTTCAGCCGAGGAAAGGGTCCTGTTTGCAGAGTGCATGCTTCGGGATGTTCCCGTTGTTTCTCGATATATTTACGGGCATCATGTATATACCAAGTGTACCCTTATACATAATATACATATACATATATATATAATATATATGTATAATTATATATATGTATATCACATTGAATATACAAATCGGTGAGCAGAGCAGGCCTCAGTATTGATGCTCTCCTCAGTTTATTGAAGATATTTGAAGGAGCAAGGAACTTGCAGGGTTTGGTTTATCCTTGTTATTTGGCAAACGTCTATGTCGTTAAGAGTTTGTATTTTATTGGGTAGAGCTCCGTTCTTTAGGTTGGCTAGGAAATTTAGAATTGTTCGATATATATATATATATATATATATATATATATGTACATATGTACATGTACATATGTATTTTGGCTGGACATCAGGTGGATTAAGCACGCATGAGTGTTTTTGCTGAATCGAACAGTTATGTGTTTTTTGTTTAACACGTGTATATATATATATATATATGCTGCCCCCCCTCCCAAACCCACGCCCCCAAAATACTTGTGCGGTATTTACAGTCCTTTAGGGCGACTTCATTTGGGTAGATCATTGATCCAACATTCAATACCAAGAGTCGTGGGAATCTTGAAGCTTGAATCTTAGATCCAAAAGCTCTTAAAAGCGCTTTAACGCGTTTTCGGTACCCCATACTGGAGTCAAGATGCAAGATCTGGAGTCCTGAAAACCTTTAATCTTGGATCCAAAGTACTTGAACCGCTTAAATGCTCTAAAGCGTCTGCTTTCAGTCATTCATGTTTGAATCCCCACCTACCCCTGGATTTTCACAGTAAATATCAGTGATTTGCATGCTTTGTTAGCAGGTTTTTTGCAGAACAGATTTCGTTCAGGCAAACCAGCTGCTTTAGGAGCCATTTTTGGTTGGTTTCATGGCCAAGGATTTGTGCATCAAAGAAAAGCGGCGTCAGAGGGAAGAATGGACTCGGAATTCGAGGTATGGCGAAGGTTTGCGTGCAAAGGGACCAGGGAGCCGCGGAGCTGGGGCTATCCAAATTTTGCCTTAGGCGAGGCCTTTCGGAGATAGAGTCCTGGATGTTTAAGCGCTCACCCATGCCATACCCGAGGGTACCTTTCCAGGTGAGTCGCAATTACATTTACTGTTTATTTTCGGCAGTCGGTTTTTCCTTTTGGGACATTGATTGCATCAAACTGGGTGCTCGCAGGAAAAGTCAGTGCCAGGTTTGGCCTTGAAAGACATATTTCTTGGTCTACAGTTGCTTTACGACGACGAGAAGGGGGCCCAAGTTTCTCAGTAACAAACCAAGCCCACCCCATCTTCCCATCTCAAGCCGGTCCTCACGCCGGTCCGAGGTGCTTTTGGTGATTTTCTTTGTGCTGGCCTTCCAGATCGCAGGGCTCCAGGCCGACCAAAAACTTGCAGTGATCAGGCGTCAGGGACGGCTTTTTGGATCCCTCAACAACTGGACCCCATTCGAAGCTGGGATTTCAAGCCCCACATGCGAACTGTACATGGCTGGGTATGCAAACTGGGTTCGACCATTGGTGCCGTTAGTTCCTGGGTTCGACCAGGAGAAATCAGAAGTCAGTTGCAACTGAATTGACCTGTTAAGCAAATGGTTTTCCTATTTTGGGCTTCCCATGTTTAGTGAACGTCCCAAAAGGGGATCATTTGTGTTCAGGTCCTTCTGGTAAGTGAGTGACGGATCGATCAGGTTTCAGATTCAGGCCTTAACTGGTCCCGAGCGTTCCCAGACAGCACGAGGCCAGCAAAATTCCGGCCGGAACTGGTCCCCGATTTTTTTCTGGCAGTAGCAGAAAAACAAAACTCGCTTCAAACGAAGCAGCCAAAAAACATGGCAGCAGCAAGGAAGCAACATTCCGCCGGAACTGGTCCCCGAAAATTGTCTGGGAGCAGCAGACAGGCGAAATTCGACCTGGATGTTTCCCAAGATCAGATGGACCTCCAAAATGCCTGGTTTCCTTTCTGATTCCTCTTAGCCGGTGAGTCAGACCCCCAAACTCGGAACCATTCGGGAACCAAAAGAAAACACTCCATTACGGCACAGACACATAGCTGTCCGAAAGGCGCGGACAATTTAAGCCCGAGGGGGGGGAGGATCTTGGCAGCTCAGCCCTCTTGCAAGCCTAAAGATGACCAAGCCACATGAGGGTACGGAAACACTTGGTGTTGGCCCATGTTTTCCCTGTCGAACCTCTACGAGGGAAGCTGAGTTGTTGTTCTCAGGAACGAAAATGCGGAGGTGCCCTTTTGCAGCCGTTGCCAGTTAAGCGGGTGGGGGGCGAGCCGGAGACAAACCCTTCAAATCCTACAGGAAGTCAGCGGTGTTTCTTGGATATTTGCAGAGTTTCCTTCCTTGCTTGAGGGTTGTTTGGTCTTTGGAGGTTCTCTTGGGCTCGCCTCAATCCATTCTATTCCAAGCAAGTCGTGTAGGTAACCAGAAAAGACATCTATGGTAAAAATACTTGGCATAGGTGTCCTTTTTAGGTTAGTTTGGTTAGACATAGATGGGTTCCACTGGTTTAGACTGGCTTTATGCCATCCATTGACCAGGAGAACCATCCCTTCTTTTCCAAAAGGTCACCTGTGGTACCTATATGGTACTTGGTTCCAGTCACCGGAAGCACGTGGTGAGTCCGCCCATTTGCTCGTCCGCAGGCCTCGATGGACGAGCTGGTGCGGGGGGAGTTGGGCACCCGCCAGGCCGGGCTCTCAAAGCGGCGGCTCCGTCTTATGGATTGAAGTGGAAAGGGACACGGGGGGGTGCTTTGTTTTGGGGGTCCCCCGATGCCTGAAAGCGGTTTTGAAGCCGATTCCTTTGGGCGGTTTTAGGAATAAACCAACAAGGCCGGGAAATCCAGGTTGGGGGCCCTCGCCCAAATCGGTTCGGCACCTCACAGCGCGAATTGGGAGTTGGGTCCGAGGCCTACTTGGGCCTGGCGCCGGCCTCAGCTGTCTCGAGGTTCCAAGGGTGCCCTTTTGGCTACTCAGATCGACGAGTGGAACAAACCCTCATTGTAAGAGGAACACACGCTCTTTGGTAGAGACACCTCCGTTTTGGGGGCACCCTTTGTCGGGTTCCATGTTGATCTGCAGGGGAGTAAAGGAATCCAGCGTCTTGTTTTTTTAGGGATGGTCCCTATTTGTGAGAAAACAGCTACCCAAAAAGGGCCTGCTGTTTGGGGGGTGTTTTTACTGGAGCCAAAAGAAACCCCACCATTTCTGGGGCTCTGATTCTTATTTTCAGGACAAGTTGGTTGCCTTTCCGATACGCTCAGCGCTCAGTTGTGCAGGTGGTGAGCTTCTACGAAGAGTACGATGCAACATACAGACAGGCCATTCTGCATAAATATCGAGCTCCCCTGGAGTAAGATGAGCCCTGGCGTGATGAAGGTCCTCTACTGGAGACTTCCCTTTATCTCCATCGTCTCCGTTTTGGGAGTTCCCTTTGTCATAGGATTCCTCCCCCCCTTTCCCCCAAACAAGCTCCTAAGTGACAGCCTAATGCGGATACTAAAAAATCATACCCCAAATTCACAGGATCACCCCCCCCCCCCCGACTTTCCCCCACCCACACCCCCCTGCTTCCTCCCAAAACTCATTTGACCAGCCGCACATTACGGCCTTCCGGGGAATTAAGGGGGGCTTGGATCCGATCAGTTTGTTACTTTGCTCTTTGAGGCTTACAGTTCTACGGCGATTCAAAGACACCATTGGGTTTCCTGAGGTTTGAGGGGGTCGTGTAGGGACCGTTTGTCCCAACGAACCTTTCGAGTTGTTGGACCCGTTTCAGCCGCGACCGGTGGGTCACTTCTTTGTTGGGTTGAGCCCGAAACAACAGATCGGCTTGGGAACGACAATCCCAAAACACGCTCCAAGCAGGCAGAATTATGAATGGCCTCTCTTTTTGATGTTAGCCATTGTGACATAAAATGAGGCGTATGTCTTCGGAGGTCGGGGTCTTGAAGGACCCCAGTGGAAACAGACTGAGTGCGACATACGTGTCTCTTAAAGGAACCGGCTCCCAATCTCACTGGTTTCCAAGCGGTTTTCCTTTACCAAGGCACCCCCATATCAACCACTACCCCCCGGTGAAAAAAGCGCTTGTCCACTTTCCTTGGGTTTAGAGAAGATGACATGGTATGACATGGTCATTGGTATGGGATGCTTGTTTCTCTCCAGTCGGGCGACCCAAGGTCCCCTGCCATGGGGCCTAATGGTCCGTGTAAGGGGCTACAGAATTACTGAAGGGTTTTTTGTTTGGGTACTCAACCATATCCAGTCACGATCATGGAGCACGTGCGTAACTCTTTGGCCTTCCTGCACCATTGGCCTGCACCATTGGACCATGCCAGGTGTACACCTATCGCCTTTTCCTGTGCTTGTATCCTCTCATGCCGCTGGGCTGCACTTTCTTCTTTCTTTTTTTTTTTGGGGGGGGGGAAGGGCATTCTTGGGCTGTGAGTTGGAAGTTTTTTGTGTTTTTTGCTTTTTCGTTGACTCCCACAAGGTGGTTGGTTGGTGCGGTTCCTTTGTGCCGCTCCGGTGCCCTTTGAGAAAGACCTTGGTTTCCCCAAGCTCCAAAGAACTCACACCGGACGTGGTTTTGCCACAGATAGACACCAGAGGTTGGAACACGTAAGCACCACAGGTCCCATCACGCGGCGCATGGTTTGCCATTGTTTAGGGGTCTTCCATGCTAGTTTTTGTTTGACCGGTAGTTTGGCAACCGACATGAACGGCTCAGTAGGCATTCACTGTCGTGAGGCTTGTCCCTTGTGTGAATATGTGGGAGGGACCTCATCTGAGGGTTGGCCAAAATGTCCACTTGGTCCAAATCCAGGGAGACTCTCTCATGTTCCTATGTTCTTCACGGTGGCACATTTTACCCTCGGTCCCCAGAGCTCTCAGCAAGAGGGGGTCCTCACAGATCCCAAAAATACACCATCACACTGCCTTAGAAGGGTCATCGCCATTCCCGGCAGTTCAAAACTGGTCAAGGGAACAAGCAGATTGAATACGCCTTCGCAAATTCCGGCGCGTTCTGAAAAAATAGTGTTTGAAGAGATATGTCCCTTTTTAACTCGCTTGCGCGGTAAGCAGGCGTGCAATGTTGACGCCTGATTAGCACACCCTCCCAGTGATTAATCAGGGCAGTCAACCTGGAAGAAAACAGTTTCAACAAAGGGACGCCCTCAAGGCGGGGATGTATACATGCGGGGCCCAGATACCCGAACAAGGCCTTGCTTGACTGGTACCGATTTGGACCTGGATTTGGCTTTGGCGTGACCTTCGCCGCAGGCCTTGAATACCTTGTTGGAAAAAAGTGAGTATGTTGTTTTTTTGGGGGACCCACTAAAATGGTGGTTGGTTTTCCTTTTGGTTTCCCCTCTCAAACCAAAAATGGGATCCCTCAAAACAAGAGACACCCAAATGGCTTTTCCATTCAACCTACAAAAGTTTCCACCTTTGCTCACCGGAGAATAGTAGCCCTCTGTGAAATTCGCTGACATACTCAAAACCAGCCCTGAATGGTCAAATAAACAATGCGTCCCCCAAACCGTTCACTTTCATACACCCAGTGCCCTTCTGCTTTGGAAGACTGGAATAGATCTGGGGTTCAACTCCCCACACCAACCTAAACCAAAGAACCAAACCAATCCAAACCTCCAACCTCCAAACCCGCAACCGCAACCAAAAGACCGGGGGGGGGGTGGCAGATGCGGGGGGGGAGCTGAGGCTGGTCCTGCGTCTGCTGAAGTCCTTCGACGCACAGCCGCGGCTGGCGATCATCACTGAGACGCTGCGCTCGGCGTCTCAGGCGGGTGCATCTGTACTCAGCGGACCTTTAAGCTGACCTTTTGGCTTCGGGTTGCAACCAGTGGTGCCCTTTTCCCCGTGTTTGGAGGGGATGCCCATTCAAGGTCAACCGACCTTAAGACATGTGTTTGATCATGGACATGCACATGTGCCTGTCCGTTCTTTCATGATTGATCATGACTTATTTTGCTTTTTACATACCCGACAACCCCATTCTAGTTGTTGAACGGCCCTTATATTAGCAGAAACTCCCTTCTCTCTGTTGGGTGAGCCTTGTGCTCTCAAAGGTCAGGTAACCCTTTGTTGCTGGTTTGGTGGCTTGGAGTTTTGGTTTGAAGCTGGGAATCCAAGTCCTCGTGAGGACATGATCCATTTCAGCTTGGTGCTCTCCGCGGTCGTGACGTGTCTCTGCCTGGATGCTGTGCTCATCTTCGGCCGGGACATCGAGGAGCGCGGAGCGCGGACGTCTCATTTGCGAAGTCGAAGTCGCCTGGAAGCACAAGACTGCGGTGGAAAGACGGACCATAAAAGGGACAAAGATATGGCTTTTCGACTTTTTGCCATTGTTGTTTCTCCTTGGTTTCCCCCTTAAAACGGCAAAGCATATTTTTTGGCCGGTGTCTAAGTCTGGCCCAGAAAAGGAGGGTATTTACTCCATGGACACTTGATTTTAAAGATTGCTTAGAAAAGAAGTAGTTGGAGTAGGTAATGTCTGAAAAGCAAGGACGGGAGTTGGAACTCGCTGTGTCTCAGAATGCTGATTTTTCGTCAAGACACATGCTCGGACAATCTGAAAATACAGATTTTAAGCTCTTTCTTTCAACCGCCGATTTTTTGCCACCACTCTTTATTACACGCTTTCGGTTCCTGTCTCGGCATCGAACTGCCTCGAATGGAGGACCTGGCCAACTTGGCGCGGGCTTTTCACTTCGCCTTCAGGAGACTTGGGCGTGCCTTACATTGCCGCCCCTTTGAGGAATCAGAAAAGGCTTACTGACCGCTAGGCTGGGATCACAGCGGTTGGGATGAGCATCATGAATATGCCTATCGCAGAGCTGGTCTGGGCTTTTACTTCCTGTCTTGTATGGAGATTCCTTCTCGGTTCCCAGCCGTCCCCTGTCTTGTATGGAGATTCCTTCTCGGTTCCCAGCCGTCCCCTTAGGTTTTTAGGCTTTGAGGGCTTGGTGCGGGTTTCCATTTAACCTCAAACCATGAAAGCTTAAACTTTAGCAGGGGACCTGAGGACAGCCCAGTTTCACTGTAAAACAAGATACGTTTGTGCATGACAGTTTGATGACCTCAATCCGTGCATTCAATGCAGCACCGATCATTCTGAAGCCTTTGTATCCGTGTAAAACAACACATAACAACCCAAAAAAAGGCACCATCAAAACGGGACGTGCCCATTCGATGTAGTCAGTGCCAGGATGGTCTTTGCCGAAGACGGCTCGTACTACTACAAGTTGGAGCAGGCGGCGGCCGGCAAACTTGAATGAACATATGTGAAGAAACCCCATAGGGGATCCTAACCCTCCATCCCAACATGGGATAGAGAAACATGCTCGACAAGAAGCGTATGATCAGTTGTTGCTTGTTGTGCTCTCTCCGTTTTGGTAAGAGTCCCTGCAAGAGAACGCATGTGCGTGTTTTTTTTTTTGCAAAATGAGCTAGGAGACCCCAAATTGGCTAGCTTCTTTTTGGTGGGTTCTATTTCCCCCCCCCCTCCCCGGGGGAAGAGACAAACCTTTTGGTCCGCCTTCAAGTTCGAATAAGAGGGAACCCCATCCTGCAGCCTCGAAATGCCAGGTGTCGCGCATGGCCACGTACACCTGGTTCACCAGCTTCACTGCACTCTGGACGACTTGAACGGGGCGGTGGTCTTTGTTGGTTTGAGCCCCCAAAGAATGCGGGACCCTGGCTGACCGCTTTTCCGGACCCTGGTTGTTTGGGCCAAACCAAGTTGTAACCTTGAGGTCCAAAATGAAGGTTCAGGGTTGGTACAATGGGGATCTTTTCCATTCTGTCCGCGTCAGTCAGCAGTGAAGGCTCGGTGCTTGTTGGCTTTGCAGCTTCAACTTGCAGTCCTAGTCCATATGCGACAGACTCAGTACTCAGACCTTCAAGGCCAGCACTTAGCTGGCAGATGTGGGGAAGGAAAGTTAAGTTCTTGATTTGCGCAAGCCACTTTGGGCAACAATGTCCAAACTGCTGATGTTTCCACTTGGTAAAGCGCCGTAATGCATCCCCTAATGGCCGCAAGGCGCGGTGCACACCTGGGATCCCACCTGAACCAAACCTCAGGTGTATCTTGGGATGTGGGGCCAAGCAATTACAACAGTCTACCCCTACGGTTTTTAAATACTCCACAATCCTATTCTAATTGTTTAGGCCGTACAGGTTTGTGGACTCTCTGTTAGAGTCGACCATTGATTGGCAAGTCCAAAAGCGTTTGTGCCCCAGATTCACGGGGGCCTAGGCGGGATTTAATGAATGGATTCCAGCTTCCGCCATCATGTAGCATCCCAGAGCCCATTTAGTAGAACCCGTTCAGCAGGTTACCAAATCAGAGATACAGCTGAGACGGGGGTTGAATTGGTTACACTTCACACCACATGGCCTTTCTTGAGCTCCATTGTTGACTGGCGGACGCGACTCAGGTGCTTGTGGTAATCATCTTGCTGAACATGTTGCTGGCAATCATCATGGACAATTACATGATGGTCAAGCTTCTTGGCCCATTCAAATGGACAAAACACAATCCATAGTAAGCACATGGTGGACAGTGTTTCATTTGGCTCCCAGCCAAAAGCTCCTCACCAAGCAATGGACAGTCAAAACCTGGCTGGATGAACAGTAAGGAACTTGAACAGTCCTAACCAATAGAAGTGTCTTTTTGGAGGGTCCCCCTTGTTTGGTGGTTAAAGAGAAACCAACAGGAAGCCTCCTGTTGTTTCAGGGTCCCTTAAGGATGAATCTACACACTGCAGATATCCGCCACCCTGTTGATTCTTCATGGTCTTGGGTCACCTGTAGTTCCAGGCTTTGATTGTGACTCAGGAGGGTACTGGAGCTATACCAGGTTTAAACTTGTGAGCTGCGGACTTCTTTCTGGCCAGTTTTGACGGATCTACTTCATGTTCTTTGCGGGGGATGATGTTAGTGAGGGTCAAGGCAAACTTTTATGACTTTTCAACAAATTGCGGTATGGTGTCAACCCAGGTTTTGAAAGACATAGCCTACAAACACAGCATTTGGATTAGGGGGAATGTCCGGAAAAGCAAGCACCGGAATTGAAACTGGCTGCTTCAATCACTTCCCTTGCAGACCCGGTCTAGACCAGATATTTTGAGGTGAAGTGTTTGATTGAGGAAGCGTGCCACGATGCGGGCCTCCTTGCCGCACCAGATGCGAGAGATGTGGCGGCGCTGGCGCATGAATCGGAACAAGGAGCGGGGAGACGTGACATCCACTCATTGCCAGACCAATGGCTTAGCATTCAAAAGGAGGTATTTACTCCCTCAAATTTTGTTTTTGGCGATGCACCTATACATTGTCAGACTAAATTCAACTCAACTTTGTGCACATGCTTGGGTGTCCATAATTTTCCCTTACCATTAAAAAATAGCACTTGTTGCAGGGGTCGGATTTGTCTGGTCAAGAACTTGCTCAAGGAATGAGGGAATGTTTGGTTCGTGTCCCTTGGGAAGCCAAATTCTGTAGATCCCCTCAAAGTGCAGCCACTTTACTTGAGGGACCTAGTTCTGTTTGGTGTATGGCGGGCTGTATAACAAATCAAACACCTTCATGGAATTGGAGGTAGGGGGCATGAAACTGATTGGGAAGATCAGTTGAGTGGTAAGCAGAAAGTCTGGAATTTTATTTGCCCTAGCCAGGTGTCAGTCAGTAGGCAGCATTGTGAGAACGAAGAGGTGTTTTCCAGTTTCTGTGAGACCAGCCCAAAGCTTTTAGGGGAACATGGTCTCTTCTCAGAGGTATGGTGAATGCAAGTAGACCTCACCCACCCACAAAACCTTGATTGAAGTCATAGAGTAAATTACGGCCCCTGTTCCCTTAGTTACTTGCAATACTTGGGGCATCCAGCATCGAACCCCAACTTGTAGGCGAATGGATTTCCAGCCAGGAGCGGGTGCGTCTGGAAGAGATCTGGGCGGCCTTTGCGGAGGACGCGGTGTGGAACCGAAAGGCACCGATGCGCGCGTCGGGTCGCGGCTCGCGGCTCGCAGGGCGCGTGTCGTGCCATTCCGAATGCCAAAAGGGGATCCAAACCTGAGATCGTTTGAGGCCTTTTGGGGGCCAACAGCGCCATCTGCGCCATCTTTTGGGGGTCTAGGCTCAGATGAGCTGACCAAACTGCTGGCTGTCTAGTGTTCATTTGGGTCTGGGCCACGAGGCTCCCATCCTTGCCGGCCCCAGGGCTTTTTCGGCATCTTGGTTTCAGGTTTGGGCGGTATAGTTTTGGAACCTAAATCCTGCTTTCTGCCAACACCCTAAAGAAGGTGGTTTCAGAGCAGATCCTCCGTTCCTGGGCGCTCCCCCTTCAGACATAACTCAGGATAAAAATGTTTGCCCTTGAAATGGTGGGCCCCGCAACACCAAACGGAGGGGGAAGGAGAACTGATTCTTTATGGGGCACGGCCTGTGCCTATAGTTACGTTGCACCCCACTAGGCTACAGCCTTCCTGAACACATTCTCACTTGGATCAACCCACATGGTTCCCGAGTTATGACAAGTTTCTCTTTGCTGGTTTACATCACCTGGTAGCGATTTATTTGGCGAGTTTCTGGTGGAGTGATGTTGAAAGAGGCAATACAGGGTGCCCTACAAAGCAGGGAGGGAGCAGGATAGGCTTCTCCAAGGCTCCCCAACATGGCGTGATGTGCTCGCAGGACCATCTGGTTTCGCAAATGGCTTATTTCCATTTAACAACCTGAGCCGGGAACCCAAAGGAAAGAGAATCGTGTTTTGCCCGGGGAGAACGCCCTAGGCTCAAGGCTCCAGGCTTCAAAGAGATTGCAGGCCATGTGTCAGAGCAACCGCCTCATCACCTCCACCTTCCTGCTGGATCTGGTTCCGGGCCTACCGCCCTCACAGGCTGAGAGGACGAAAGGGATATGGCTGTGGGTCAAAAATGCGTACCCTGATATTTGGAACCAAAGACTAAAACATGCCGTCCCCTGGTGGTTTTATTTTGACTCATACCCATATAGGTGGATGGTTCGGGATGCCTGGGATGAAAAAGCACCAACCATCAAGCGAGTAAAGCTTGGGTGGGGTTCGGGTTGGGGATTCAAGCCAAACAACTGGTTGGGCTATAAAAGGCCACCAGTCACCATTCTTAGGCCAAGACGTTCATCACCTTTTCTGGGCCCTTGCCATCTTTTTCCTGGAGCTTGAAGCCTAAAAACGGGGCGCCAAGCACCTTTCGGGCCCTTAGGCCGCATGCTACGTGCCGGCATCGCCAGGGCACAAGAGCCCCAACTTTTGACACACACACACACACACTCACATCTTCCTCCCCCGTGTACGCGCTCTTTTTTTTTTTGCGGGTGTTGCTCTCAATTTACTGTTTTCTGCTTGCTCCCCCTTGCTAGACGAAGGTGTCTAACTTGTTTGCACTTCGATGAATCCCCACCTCCACGAAATGTGAACAATTTGCGGAGATCCCAGTTAGCGCCGCAATGAAACGTTCAGGACATTGCACAACTCCCGGAAGGAGCACCTCAAGGACCTCGAGTTGCAAGAGTTGTCATGCAAGACCCCGTTTTCCTATAGATAGTGTTTAGACATAGAAAATACCTGTTTTTGGTACTTTGCTAAAGGAAACCAACCACGAGACGGTAGAAACAGTCGTGCTTGCAAAGCCAGGGATTGAAGCTTTTGGTTGCCAATTCAAAGTGAGTTTCCTCTTGCTGAACCCCCGTGTGTTCGGGGTGATGTTTAAGGGAGGCAATATCCAAAGCTCGTGATCAATTCTTCATGGGGTCACAATCAACTTGCTTGTTGTCAGGATCAGGGAATGGCGCCCTCTAAACCGTTTGATAGGTTCATTACCAACACTCCTGTGGATTCCTTTCGGAGAACCAGTGGGAATCCCGAGTTGGACCTCTGTGTCTTTTACCATGGTCTTAACAGCTTCAAAGAGGTTCAGCTTGCATTTGCAAAGATAGGGCCTGAAATGGAAGGCGCCGGGAAGCCCGGATGAAGCCCTGGATTGATATAAAGCTGCCCCCTTTGAGTGGGGAATCATTGGATTGGCGGGCAACAACCCTGATAAATTCTACGCATTTATCAATTTGTGGTCAACATTCGGGCGTCGATTTTGGGCAGAGCCGAGTTAAGATGGCCTTGAGAGGTTCAGACAACAACTTCGCCCAGATTTCCGGCCTTGTCACCTTTTGGTGTGTGTTTGTCTAGCCTTAGCAAAAATTCCAAAGCTTAACCTTTCATTTCTTGATCCTTTCGGCAAGTGATATATATATATATATATCATTATTTACCAGTTGGAATTAGTTTGATTCAAGGAGATTGACCTGCAAAATGCTCGGCTTCCGCTTTGGTGTGTGTGTGTGTGTCGGTGTTGTAAAGAGGCCCCCCCCCCCGCAAACAAAGAAGACACACAGTAGCAGTTGTTCCTTTGGCTTTCCTTGAAACCATCCTGAGAAGGGTGCCATCAAAAAGTCACACACCTCCCTTGCCTTGTGGACTGGACTGCATGTTTTCTCGAAGCAAGGAGACGGAGCCCCCCTTCCAGCTGAGTGATGCCCACGACATGCTCTCGGGACTTGAGGAGCGGGGTATTTGGAGTCGATAATTTGAAGCCAGGATTGCCCGCAGAAAGGAGGGTCCCCCAAAAGGAATGTAGTCCAAATCCTCCTGTCAGCTTCCATGAGTGTTGGAGGGAAGGTAAGCAAATGCCCCCCAAACAGAGATTCGTCTGGTTGTGCTTAGGTTCCATTTTATGCGGGAGTTCAGCTTTTGATTACGGAGATTCAAATCGGGTCAGGATTCCTTGTTCTTTGCCCGGGGGCATGCCGCCCCCTTTCCGTGGGTGCATTCTCCGCTGGCCTGCTTTCCCAACCCCAACGAAGGTTCGCTTTTCGATTTTGCCCCTTGTTTGTTTGGTCATCCGAAGGACCATTTTGGGGGTTCTGAGAAAGTGACTCAGCTCAGCGATTTTGGTTGGGAGCACAGGCTCAACACATAAAACCCCTAGAAATGGGTTGTTTTACTCGGCTTCGATTCCAGTCCACCATTTCACGCACCCCCCCCACGGCTTGGGCCTGGAGGCGATCTAAAAAGATCGACCCCAACCTCTGAGGCTTCAAGTAAGAGGTGTCAAAATCTAGAGTCAGCAGAAGCAAGATGGGCGTGGTTGTCAAAACCGTTTTGGGATCCCATTTTGGGGGTAGGTGCATTCACCACCCATAGTCTATTTTAGTGGGGATTTGGATGTTCACTGGGGGCTAACCGGGATTTGGACCCATGGCCAAATGGCAAACAGGTTGGAAGTATATTTGCCCACCCCACCAACTGTTGATGTCCTACATGGGCGTGGGCTTCGGAAGCGAAAGGAACATCATCATTTTGTTGGGGCCTCGCAACAAGATGCACCCGTATGCCTCTTGCCTTTGGGGTCAGGCGGCCACCCGGAAGATCCGGAACGGGCTCTATTTCACCTTCGACGTGGTCCACTACTTCGACTCCAGACCCGTGCCCGGGACACCGGCTCAGAGAAATCCAGAAGTTTGTTTGTTTTTTTCTACTGAAAGTCTTATCAGAAAATGCACTGACGATTTTGGGTGTTTTTGTCCTACAAACTCACGGGGGTTGGATGGACCTCATGTTTATTCTGGGTTCAAGTGACAGTCACCCTCTAAATCATTCTGAGTTGGTGGTTTTTTCTGCCATCCTCCAAGGGTGACGTTTCAAACCAACGGGTCACTCGGACCCAGAATTCCGAAAAGCCGCCGCAGGATGGGGGACTTGGTCACGGATACTCACGAGAAAGCCATCTTCAAGCTGGCGCTGAACGAGGAAAGCTGGCGAAAGCGTTGCCTTTGCTTGGGTTACCTGAATGCGGCCTGGGTTTCATTTGTTTCTCATGTTCACTGTTTGACCAGCAAAACTTTTGCATATGCTATTGAACATTGAGCCCTTGGCTTGCAAGCCCTTCAGATTCGTTTCTTTCCATCCTTCTGTAGTTGAAAGCTCATTGCTGCCCCCAACCCCCAACCCATTTCGAGGGATGATATGCAAGTGCGGTCTGCTCTAGTCTTCCACTGCTATTCAAGCAACCCTTTGGAGTCTTTGGAGTTTCTCTTTAACTCTGTTTCGTGTTGGCTTCTCCTGGTTAACGACTATAGTGGTGGCTGGAATCTAGCTATGATTTGAGCACAAACAAGACACACACACACACACAAAACAAGGTTTAACACAATCCAAAAAACTGCATCCTTTTGCCCGGCTTCCTTCTGACTTTATACACGTTTCTGGAAAAGAGTGAAGCCTTTGTGGGGCAAATAGATTCGAAGTCTTACAGGGGTCCCTCCAGTTTCGATCCTTGTTTCTTCTGGCTGGTTGATGCAACCGGAACAACCACCAAAATGAAACTACATCCTTCTCAACTTGGCCTTTCTGAAAAGGCGTTGGCATTCAAAGCCTCCTCTTGTGGATTGTGTCTTTACAACCTTGGTTGGGGGACCCTAAATTGGTTTCTACCAAATAGGTCCCAGGATGTTGCACGCATGTTGTCGTTTGTTTGATGCACGCTGCAACCTGTCTGTGAGCCCATTTAGCGTCTCTGCCTAAAACCGGCTGCGCCAAACTCCCTCCAAACACCCAGGTGGAGGGGCTACTTTCCTGTGAGCTGGTTTTGTTCTGTCAAGGACAGGTTGGCCAGGTGTCACATGTGCCAATTGATTTGGAGGATTTGCCAAGAGGGCGTCCCCTTTCTGCCGCTGGTATTTTTCACCTCACATCCAAGACCCATACCTGGGAATCCCAACTTGACCATGGGGTGGTTTCTGAGAAAAGGGAATCCCCAACTGCAACCGGTCGGAGGCCGTGGACGAAGAGGAGGACCTCGCCGCATTTGCGGCGCGCGCGGCCCGGGAGGCGCGGGAGACGTGCAGTTGGCCCGAATTGGGCGTTTGTTTTTGGGGGGAAGCCCTCAAAATGATGTGTTCCTTTTGGTTTCCAAGAAAACCCAGAAAAGGTTCCCTCAAAAAGACACCCAATGGAGTTGCATAAAGTTTGGTTGTTAAGCACCCTACAACCCGTTCTAGTTTTAAAGGCCAGTCTGGTAGCTGGCTTGGATTGGTTTGGGGATTTGAACTTGTTCTTAGAGGGTAACTGGGAAACCATCAACCACCAATCCAAACCACCAACGAGGGCAGCTGAGAAAGCCCGAAATCTCCCCCGAAGGCCCAATGCTTCCAATTGGAAGTAACCAGAGGAAGCCATGGAAGCCAAGGATTTAGAGCCAGGATAAAATGTGAGGTGAACCCTTTGTACAACGGGTGTGTGTGTATATATATACATATATATATATATATTATAGGTCTGATTCAGTGTGGTGGATTTCCCAGAACCCCACAAAGGGTTTAGGAACTTTGTGAATGTGTCTCAAAAGTCAAGGCAAGCCAACCAGCGGCAAACCACACATTGACGTGTGGACAGGCCACCCGTGATTCGTAGAGGGAAACAAAGATACGCGATGCACGTGAACCGGCAGCCCTTTCCTCTCGAGGGAAACGCTACCGAAGTGGACCTTCTCGATGGTTCGCGTCCTGAATCTGTTTCTCTGAAGCAAAAAGGGGCCCTTTCGGAAGGAGAAGCATGTCCATGTCTTTGTACGGCACACATGACCTGGCCGTGAAATAACAATGGTTTTGTGGGGATTTTTGTATGGTTGGTCTACTTGCAATACGCTAGGGGCATCCACCGCTCTTTTCGCACTCCATTCTGACTTGAGGAGAAGGACAGCGAGAGGACTGCAACTCTGATGCACGAGGGAGCGAGAGGGAGAGTTACCGTGGGGAGCAAGGCTACAGTTGCAGAGTTGGACGGCAACCTCTTGGACCCCACACGCCCGCACTTTGAGCTCTGAAGCATACATCGATCCCAGAGGTGAAAGGCTGACAGTGCCCGCTAACGGCCCACTCACTGGCTGCCTGGTTTGGAGTTTTCAACCCGCGTCAGCTTGCAGATTTGCCAGTCTGCAGTTTCACGCTTAGCAGAACAGTTGAACCAAATTCAGACAAGATCTCTTGGTAGCAATGGGGTGCCCTCTTTGCCCAACACAGTCCATGAAAGTGTGTGTGTTTTTGAAGCTCGGTACCGTTTGTTAAAGGGGAACCAACAGACAACAAAACACATTTTGGGGAGTCCCCCTATTATAAGGCATGCTCCATTTCCACACTCAGTTTCGGGTGAGGGTTCAGGATCATGTGACTAGGATACTCACCGATGATAGGTGCTGGTTCGGAGGACATGATAACATGGCTCTTTGGTGGATCCGGAGAGCCGCTTAGATCTGTTGAACAGTTGGATCTGGTTTGGAGTTGATTTTGCCGAAGGTTTTCTGGGTGTCTTTTTTGAGGCTGGGACCCTTTCTGGCGGTGTGTGAAAAGGACACCAACACCACCATAGCCTTTTTTGGGGTCCCCTACTCTTGAGACAAGCATGGCCCAGACTCCAGCATGTTGGACAGAGCGGCTTTTGGAATTCGGGCACAAACAGAAAGGAGATGCTCTTTCCTGGGTGTTTCTTGCCAGATGAGATACCGGATCCCTCAACAAAGAGCCAACACCAATCGGGAGTCGTAGAATGATTGACCAAAACCGTATGGCCTGTGAAAGTATGCTAATGGGGAACCACATGAAAAGTGTTTGGTGTACATGAATCCCCGCCCGAATGGCCCCCTACCTCTATGGATCGCTTAAAGTTGCAAAAGAACTCTTGAAACTTCAATGGGCTCTTAGAATTTGGTTGTTCCGAGCCTCTAAAAGATCAAGCACAAGGGTGGAAGGTTGGCCAAGGGGGTCCCTCTCCCTTTCACGTACCCAGGGGGTTCCCCTTTTGCAGAAATCGACGTGCTTAGGTCTACCTCGGGGTTAGAAGATGGAACCCTGAAGCTGGGAACCAACACATGGTGGGGTTTAGGAGCCAAAACGGATCCAACACGGAGACAAGCGCCAAACAGGAGTCTCAAAGAACCAGAGCTGGTCACGGTTCCTTTATAGCAAGAACCCCCAAGTTGTGTGTCTTTTTGGGTAAGAACCCCCCCACCCTCCCTCCCATTGATGGTTCCCCCGCAAGTTCTGTGTCTTTTTTTTGAGGTTAAGACCTTCCTCCCTCCACCCACCCACCCCTCCCCCACCCCTCCCGCACCCCTCCCCCACCCCTCCCCCACCCCACCCCCACCCCACCCCGGCGGAAGTTTTGCATCGAAGGTGGTGGCCTTCGTGGAGGACCAGGCGGCGCGGCTGTCCTCGGAGGTGGCGGAGACCTTGGCGCAGAGTCTGCAGGTGCTGGCCCTTCGGAAGAACTTCTTGGAAAAACCCGCGCTGAAAAGCTTCGGGGGGTGTTTTTTTTGGGGGGGGGGATTTGGGTGATTTGGGTTGGGGGAGGTGATTTGGGGGGTTGGGGGGGGAGGGAGGGATTACTGAAAAGCACCAGTGTGGTGGTGGTTTCGGGCCGGGGGGGGGGTTGGAGAGGGATTAGTGAAAAGCGTCAGGGGGTGGTTTTGGGGGGGGGTTTGGGGGTGGAATCGGGGTGGTTTCGGGGTGGTTTCATTAACACGTATTAACGCTGGGATTCAGTTGCGAACACAGGGGGCCTGGCGGTCAATATCACCACCATTGTTTTCCTATTGGGCTAAACTTACCCTGCGATTCAGTTCAAATTGCCAATCACCATTCAACCAATGGACGGGGTGTTAATATAGCAATTGTTTGCCGTTCAGGAGTGTCTCATTGTCCAATTTGGGTCCCCAAGGCCAGTTCGAAGCTAGGGGGAGTTGGCAAATGGAGCCCCCCCCCCCCATTTGGAACAACCCGGCAGGCTTCCACGATTGTAGAAGTAAGCCGTTGCTTTCTTGGTTTTGCTTCAGATAGAATGGGACACCCTGGGATTACACCCTTGGGAAATGACCCACAATGGTTCAAAATAGCACGGTTTTATCCGGAAATGTGTCTAAATGAGGTCAATACCCAGGGTGTATTCCCAGGGTGTAATACCAAAACCCTCAGACCATAGGGGTAAAGTTGTTGGACCAACTTTCAGAGGCTATTTTCTATCTAGGCCACGTACCAGACACCCTCTCACAGTTTGATGACTTGGGTTTCCAAGTTGTGGCTTGGGGAAAGACTCACAACGCTTCACCTTGGATCTTTTTGGACACCGCAACCCCCGCGCCCCAGGAAGCGCGCCAGGCGGGTCGAGCGACCGCCGAGTTTTTCGTCGAGCGACCGCCGGGGGGTGAACCGCCCAAACCTCGGCTGAGCAGGGCGAGCCATTGCCATTTGGGGCACTTTCAAGGCTTTCCAGACTTCCTTATTGAACAAGATCCCTGCGGATCGGGTCTTGGGAGTAACCCTGATATGGGGGATGACAAGGTCCTTCATGGCATGATTCGTAGGGAAAACCACCCAATAAGATGACCGTCCCACTAAAACGGGGAAAAATGCCCATGGTCATTTGGGGGCCAAACAGAATATTGACCAACCACCATATACCAAGTCAAAATGGGTTCCTCTTGGCATGCCATACTCCTTTCCACCGAAGTCGTCGCAATAGGATGTTCTGCACCCATGAAGGCCTGCTGATCTCTTTTAGGATCCCGGAGCTTGCATCGGATGGGCTGCTCGTTGCTTGTTTGGGGGATGAGCATACAGGTTCGCTGAAGGACCCACTCATGTGCTTATGTCATATAATGTTGAGGGACAACATCCTGCACCCGATGAATACCGGGATAAACCAACCAACTGACGTGAAGCGTGTTTTGTGCATCCACACTGCAGAATTTCAGAGCATGAGGATTGGCCGGCGCCGCAAAGCCCCAAGCAAAGCCTACGCGGGGTCCCCCTGCATGCTACTCTTTTCTTCTGTTATACCCAACACATAGGTTGGTATCCGTATAACTGGGGCTGGGGCACATGTGGTTATTTTCCTTAGATTCAGCGATCCAGTTGGCAGTCGTTGGGTACAGAGAAGAAATGGGGACCCCTGAAACGGGCGGTTTCCCTCTAACAGATCCATATGGGTTAGGTTGATCAACTTTGCACGCCCCAAATTGGTACCAACTCCACATAAGGACGCCCAACAGGGCGTGTTTGTTTTTCTTCTTATTTGTTTTTCGTTTTTTCACGAATTCCTTGTTTGGGTGTCATGTTCATTCGCGAAAGACAACGGGACACCACCCCCCTTGTGTGGGATCCGCCCGGACCCAGATCTCCGAGGCGCGCATTGAGGAGCGAGAGGAGTCCATGGCGGTGGCTGTGCGTCAGATGCATGGGACGCTTGGCCTTGGTCAATTGACGTCTTCAAGGCCCTGAAGATCATGGTGATGATGGTAGGTCCCTGAAAGCGGCCTTCTGAGGGATTCTCAAATCAATTAAACTTGTTTCTTGGGGGGTGGTTTCCCTTTGACCACCGATTAGAGGGGTTACTTTGAGGCCTTGAATGGACGTTGATCATTGATAATTAATCAAGGGACCCGTCATAGACTGGTTCGAAAGAACGGATTCTACCACGTTAGAGCGAGCTCACCAATCCGGGGGTAAGGTGAGCGTTTCCACCCATTCCTTATTCCTGGTTTGTGGATTCAACTGATTTGCCAGAGAAACATGGCCGTGTAATCATATGGGCCTTGCCTGAACTGATGAAGGGAAAGAAAGATTACCAAAGTTGACGGTTGATTTCAGTATCTAACGATGTTCCCCAAATGGTCACCTTGACCTCTTCCCTCCTGTGAGACGTCTGATTTGGATCGTCTATTTGCCCCTCGTCCTGATTTGACATGTTGCCAGCAGAGAATCAAGGAACGCTCTGCAATTTACATTTGTGGTTGGTTTGCTTGCATTTTGTTCGAAGGGTATTTTCAGGGTTCAACTCCGGTACATTAGCACCCCCGAAGTGTACTGCAATACGGGATCCTTTCCCACATTTTTCCGGAATGAGGGTACACGTGAAGTAGTGTCGACACCCGATCACTGAACCTGGTGAATTATTACAGGTGTATTAAGCAAAAACACACATGTTTTCCTTCCAAATGGCACCCCCAGGCACGGTGTCTATGAACCCCAGCTAAGGGAAACCAAAACAACAACTTTCCTGATTCATCCGGAACTAGCATGAATTTCATTCGGAGGGCACTTTGTGCACCATGTTTTTCAAACCAAGCGGGCAAGGTACTCTCCCGATGAAACATACCCAAGAGACTTCAGTTTCAGCGGTTCCCAGCCATAGCCACTGGTGGAGTCTAGAATGCAGAACATATCCCACAAGTTAAACTTGTGTCCAAAAACTAACTAGCCACGAAACCTCCTTTTTTGGATCCTTTTTTGTTGAGCGAGTGGGGAAACACGGGCCCCACTCGCTGTCCCACAAAAAAAACACCGCGCTTCTCAGGCGCCTGCTGCAACTGCAAGGCGACGCCAAGATGGTGGCTCGGCGCCTGGAGAAGGCCGGGGAAGGATCCAGTTGTCAGATCCATATTATGGGTGTGGGTCAAAATCAATACCGGGGACCGCAGATTTAAAAAAGTCCATGGTTCCATTTAATAGGGTTCGATTTTGGGTACCTATTATTGACCCACATCCACATGTTGACCCCATATGAATCGACCCCTGTTTGCTCATGGGGGGGTGGGGGGTTGGGGGTGTTCTCCAAAAGTGGTTTGATTCCCACTAAACCCGTTTACACACCCTATTAATAAACTGGGGTTGATTAATATGGGGTCGACATGAGATTGCAACCCCCCATAAAAGAATGGCCTTGGGACCGGTGGCAACTGAACTCCAGGGTTTAGCTCTACGGGTCTGTCCTTTTTTACCGAGGGTGCCGTTTTTAGTGGTTTTGAAGGGAAACGAGGAAGCCCATCACTTTAGGGGGGTCCTTAATAATAATAACAATAAGAATAATACTAATAATGATAATAATAATGAAACAAAAAAAGGTACGCCCGTATAGGCAAGCAAGGGAACCACCCTAGGGACCAAACCGACAATCGTTCGTTGCCTGGAGAAAAGGCAGGTCTAAGCCAGCCCAGTGGCACCAATTGTCCTCTCTTTTTTGGAGGTCTCCCTTTGAAAATCAGCCACAAAAAGGAATCAGTTGCCCAGTGGTGCAGTTCTAGGCCAGTTTCCTTATTTTGTCTTGTAAGGCAGAATATGTCCCTGCAAGTGGTATATAGTCTCCACACCACCAAAACCCCTACCATATTTCAGGAAAAATGCCCTTGACTTGCGTGCGAGGGTGAGAACCCCCCTTGTTCCTCCTCAAAAACCAACCAAACCCAGAAGGGGTAACAGAGGTGCACGTTTTTTCCCATTGCCACTTGGCTTCTGAGCCAATATCGACCCCGGATTGAGGCAGAAGCTGGTGGATTGCTCGGGGGGTGAGCCACAATAGTGATGCGGATTTCCTGCCCCGTTCAACCAGGGGTCCAATCCTGGGTTACAATTGCCCGTGGCCTTTCATGGGGTTCCCTTCAAAATCAACCAACAACAAGTAAAGAGCATCCGTCCTTTTGGGTGTGGAGATCTGAGACTTCAAACCTCCGCTCATTCCATTGGCCGATCTGCAGGCGCTCTTCATTCGTCAGCAGATCACGGAGGCTTGCCACGGCCGCTTGAGTTTGGCGGAGACCTTTTGGAATGCTACAAAAGGGCATAGATGAATCGGTTCTTGGCATGTTGTTTGTTTGTTGTTGTTTTGTTGGTTGCTTTTTGGTTCTGTTCATATTTTGTGGGGTGGCTGCAAAAAACACCGTTTTGTGCTCACAAACCAAGGATGGGGCAGGCGTGGCCTTGCAGGAAGACCAACACGCCATACTAAGTCATACCCTTTAGAGCATAACGTTAGTAAGTATTCAGCATTGGTGTTCCCTATCTACCATTGCATTCCAACTTCCCGCCCTTGTCCCTCCAGTTCCGCAAAATGCAATCCCCAACATCAGACCCTGAGATCTTATTGGGGCCTTTGGAGGAAGCCAGAGCAGGGGGAATGCAAAGAGCTTTTGTTGCTGACATGGGGATGCTGACATACTGCCTGGCATGGTCAAAGGCCAACTAAATATACAGGTGCAAATATTTAGAATGGGCTTGTGGGGAACTTCAAAACCAAAAGTCATTATGATCGTACGAAAAGATGGGTTTGCTTGGTTGCTGTTCGGCCCGCGGCGCTGTGTTTCTTAATGCAGATGATAACCCTTCAAAATCTGTGCATGTGTGTGCTGGTGTGTGGCCTGATCTTCTGAAATCAGTTTGTTTGGCGGCTTTCCTGACACCAACCAAAGTGGGATCAGCAATTTAAAGCCCTGTTGAAGTTTGATAGACATACACCCTTTTTGGCATCCGTCTCACGCTTATGCAACAATGAGTACTCTTTCCGCCGGCAGCGCGCACGCTTATGCAACAATGACCACTCTTTGCACCGGCAGTGCGCACGCTTATGCAACAATGAGCACTCTCTGCGCCGGCAGTGCGCATGCTTATGCGCCAAGAATAAGGACGTTTCTCCGCCGCCAAGAATGAGGACGTTTCTCCGCCGGCAGCGCGCACGCTTATGCAACCATGAGGGTTGACTGGGGGGGTTTGCCCGGACTTTCATGCTGCCCCGCGCATGCCGATCCTCAGCATGCTGGTGGCTGTCGAGGGGGGGGGAAAGGGGGGGGGAAGGGGGGGGGGGGCACCCTTCGATTTTGGTCCCTTGCAAGTCATTTCCGGTTGGTTACTGGTAAAGTACATCCACAGCAACTGGTCATTTGTCCATGCATGGATTGCTATGTCCTGTTGAGTGCATCAGTTACATGCAAAGACTAGGGTTGCTGGGACATGCTGGGGCACCCCAAATGGTTCGTTGTGGGTTCCTCCCAATGGCTATGTGCAACCAGCTTTCCTTCTTAACAGTTGGGTCCCATGTTTTCCGTTTTCGAAGCGCGACCCGTGTCCATCCCCAAATGGTTAGCTTGAACCTTTACAGCCATCCTTAAAATTATAAAACGTGACCATTCGTCAAATTGAGTTCCTCGATATCTCTCACTGCATCCTCAGTTGGGAGCCCGAAGCGAGCCGAAGAGCGGCCCCTGGGAACGGGATATGAAGAAGTTGGAATGGGATCGTCCAATTCTCCAGCGGGGCCCTTGCGCTGTTCCAAGGTGACAAAAGATTGCACTACCTGTCCCCGATGTCTGATTGATAGCTGCAGTGAAGGGCCATTTCGTTTATTCGGTTTGGGGTGGCTTTGTATATTGATTCCTGAAACGCAAAGGCAACGGATGCTTCATTATCCAAGGTGCCGATTGGAGGTCCTTTCCACATCAGATGTGGCCAGGCGAGCAGCTGGCGGAAGAAGGACCGGGGAGTGAGAGCGGAACATAGAGATGAAAGCGATCTTTTTTTTCAATTATATATATATATAAACTGTATAATATATAAATATATATGTATGAGGCTCACACCTCCAATTCTGTTTGGGGAAGTGTTTAAAGATGGTCTGCTTTTCGCCAATTCACTGAGGATGTGAGGAGGGGGTTCTTTGCCAAGCGTTGAATACCGCATCCTGGCCACCCCGATAAAGACATGCATGAGGTTGATCCGCTTACTTCAGAAGTGAAGGATGCGGATGCAATCTAGCTCAGCCCTTGGATAGAAGAACCGTTTCAAACGATTCCAAGACGAAGGCTGAATGTAGCCTGGAAAGAAGAACTACTCAATTGGTTGACTAACTCTCAGAGCTGATGATGTGAAACCGAAGGCCACAGAACAGGCCCATAGTGGATCCGCATGGATTCAAGGATGGCTGGTCCTTGGGATGCACCCCAAGCCCCACGAAATGGTTTGAAAACTCGGGGGTTTTCCATTGTTCTGGCAAGGATCCCTCTGTTCAAGAAATGGGTGTGGGTCAAAATTAAACCACCAGGGGACCAGGTTTTGGTCCATGTTGCCACTTACCGGGGTTCCATTTTGGGTACCAATTTTTGACCCACAGCCAAAATGCGCCACACCCTGGGAAAATGGGCTGAATTGCGCACCTTGAGCGATTGCTTGCTTTGGGAGAAGACCCGCAAGACCTCCAATTGCGCGCCCAAAACCCCCGGTTGGGCATTCTTATAGGTGGTTCTACTGCCTCCTTTGTAATTAACCATTTTGGTAGAACCAACATTGAGACAATATACGTTTTGGGCGCTGTCATTTGTGGTAGAAACGCTACTCTTTTAATTGTCATGACTAAAGAGAAATCAAAGGTTTTTGGGGGCCTGAATATTGACCGCTCATGTGTGCCTTGGCATTGGTCAAACCACACCTTTCTCGGGGTTAGCAGGGATGGTCATGGACAGCCGAACGGTGGCATTGACCATGGCATTGACCCTACCTCAATTGTGTGGAATTGCCCCGGCCCTGCGCAGAGTCAGTGGGTCGGGCAAAACCTAAACCCTGAAGATCCTAAAACAGACCGCCCTCCAACCCTAAGCCCTAAAAACCCTACTCCAAGAGTTTCTAATCCACATAAGGAGTGTTGAGCATGTCACAGGGTCCATGCCATCAGTTTTTACTGCAAGGTGCAAAGAAATTATATGCTAAGTGTTCCTCTTAGTATCAAAACTAAATATGGCTTTGAAGTACCTTACAACCCCATATACAATTGCTTAGGCCCTGGTACTGGGTTCGTTAAAGGATACGTGACCAAAGGATTGACCCCCCCCAAACTTATCACTAGCATGGGGATGATCGTGGGCGGAAGGGTACACGAAATCAGCTGGTATTTTGGGGGATCTTTTGGCCCAAATCCGTTGGAACGCCCTGTTGCCCCCCCCCCCCCTGGGTCAAGTTGGAAGGTCCACCTCGCGTACAACATGACCGAGTCATCCACGGACGCCGCATGCCCAGCACCGGAGCCCCCAAACACACCCACGCAGACACACACACACACACAGGCACACATTCCTTAAAAGGGCCATTTTAGTGGGTGGTTCCACCTGCTCCAATTGTTGCCAAAGCAAAGCCTTTTGACCTTAGCCATGATAGAACAGTCAATGGGTTTCTGAGCGCTGCTCTTCTGGCAGTCCGTGCTCTTTCCGTGCATGGGGGAACCTCCTACAATTTTGCCGTTGTCAGTGGGCCAAGCAAATCCCCCAAAACCCCTCAGGGACTTTCTCGCGAAGGAATTTGTTTTGGGGATTTGAGCTCTTTCTTCATTAAACCAGAGGCCAAAGGAAGCAACTGTTCCAGGCCATCTCCAAAAACCAACCAACCGACCAACTCAACCAACCAAATGGATTGTCCTTAATTTCAGGAACTCCCCCCGAAATCAGGGCTAGGTTCCTGTTCCTCTCTGTTTCCCTCAAACGCGCTTTGAAACCAGGGCTTTGTTTGGCGGCCTTTGATGTGAATCGACTCTTTCTCGTTTTGTGGTTTTCCCATTTTGGTGCATAGTCAAGGCCCCAAGACGTTAGTTAACCTTGTATGTTTGAGGTCTGTCAGGGGCAGCTGAGGTTAGGCTATCTTGTGAAAGCCCAGCCCGAATTCCAAACGGCTTCCGAGCATGCGACCGTCTTAAGGCCGGGCCGTTCGCCGTGCCCTCGCTGCCCGCGCGGAAAGAAGAAAACGAGTAGTGCCCAACAGCGTCGTCTCACCCCATAGCTTGGATGTTCAAGCCGTGTAGCAAATATGTTGAAACCATGGGTACAACTGGGATAAAGGGAGTTGGCTTCCTCACAACCTTGGTCATAACCTACCGAAGTTGGTTGACCACCCAAGCGGAGGCCTGTGGACAGCGAATTCCGCGATTCTGATAATTAGAGGGGAGAGCGTGGGTTTGAGTCATTCGTTGCCCAAAGCAGCCCTGTCCACAGCCGGGTCTTGTCAACCCCGATAATGCAGTAGGTAGGTCCTCGCAACCCCGCTGCGCCCAAATGCGGCGGCGAGAAGGGGTGGTCCCCGGGTGCCGGTTTGTTTGATGTTCGTGTTTAAAAGCGAACAAGGTTCCCCTCTTCTGAGACAAATCCACACCGCCCCAAAAAGCGGAAATGGTTTGCGCGTGGACAAAGGCTTGGGCAAACGGACCACTCAGGGGTGCTGACCAGCCTCGCGTGAACACGCGTCGAAAAGGTGCGATCCAATCCGCCGTGTTGCTCCCCACAAAGGCTTTCTTTTTTGTGGGCATGCCGAAGGACCAAGCAAGAGCTTCTCGGCTTTCGGCGACTTGGTATGTTTCTGATTCTGGTTCGGCTGTCGCAGCTGTTGCGAAGATGTCAGCGTCAGATTCCAAAGGTGATGGCCGAATACCTGACTCTCATCCCCTGCGCTTTGAGGCGAGTTTGTTTTAAAGAGGTTTGTTTGACAAATGCCGGGCCGCGAATGCGTCCGGTTTGCTTGGGAATTGGGCAGGACTGGAAGGCAGCTTCACTGGCCCTCGATCAATTCGAGTAGCTTGGGATATCTTTTTGCGGTCAAAGCACACCCGGTTTACTTGGTTGCGGATGGTCATGGACTTAAACATTTAGACTCAACCATAGGGACTTGGGAGGGAGCTATGCCATGACCATGGGAGGAGTTTCGACCACTTATTTGACAAGCTTTCTCAAAGACTTGAGAAGTAGACTCCCTTTTTGGTGAGCAACCCTGTTTCTGGGTCTGCAATGGTAACTCATTTTGAGTTCCGGTGGTTTTTTTGAAC